CCATCTATGGGCCGATATGGGCGCACTGTTGTGCGGTTACAACACAATCAGCACTTTTCCCCGCAACTCGTTGTCCAGACGTAAATATGCGTGCAGCATAAGGCAGGCGCAGACAGCAGAGCCATCTATGGGTGAGCGTGAGCTTTGACAAAAGGCTTTGCGGTGCAGTATGCCACAGGCGCAAATGACAGAGCCATCTATGGGCCAGTTTATTAACGTTATTGTCATGCGGCGCAGCATTCGGCAGGTGCAGGCATTGACATCGGGCGTCGCAGTGTGCGGCGGGGTCGTTGCTGACGGATTGCCGGTTACGGAAAACATTCGACACAGTGCGAAACCATTGTAGGCATCTAATTTGCCGATCTCAGGGTAACTAGCTGGTTTCAAAAGATCAACCTAAAACAGCGTAAACAGCCAGGAAGTTGTTAGTTTTAGGTACACTTCACCCGCCGACTAAGGTGTACACAGCACAAATATAACAGCAGAAACAAGTTCTGATAACTGCATAACCCTGAGGTGGAGTTCAGCCCTCACCGTCATATCGTTTTAAAATTGAGGCAGGCAACTGGGCAACACATCGATTCTCGTAAACGTTTATTAACCTTCTGAAGAGTATTGTTGGATATTGCTTTGGTAGCACTGCTTCTCGTTCGGTTCATGTGGTTCAACGCGGCATGCCGAGCGAAGTTAGTTCAGCATCCAGGATGTTGGATATCTAAAATGTTGGTTGCCGGTGAAACCACTACAGCAGTCGAGTTGAAATTTAGGGACAATTTACGAACAAAATACTAACTCAGTAATAACATTGATTTGGGTTCGACTTTCGACGATCAGCTCAGGTCAGTAGGGTCAGACCAAACCGCGAGTCACCTTTCAACACAATTAGGTATGAGTGAGCTGGGTACCTGTTCATTATTGTCGAATACATTCATCTTCATTTGTTCTTACACAGGCAAAAAACAAAGTTCCTGAGGGTCTGTCAAAAATAAATGTCGATTTTCTTTATTGATAGATCTAGAGGCATTACGCACATGTCGTAGTTACTCACATTCGACTATAAAACTTAATTGTTGTTAGCCAATTCGAAGAAACCATTTTCAGATCAACATAGGCTTCCCAATTGAAGATGTATCGCAATGTGAAAAACAATATACGCAAATCATATATTACTTGCGTAAGCATACCCACCAGCCAAAGCGTTGAGCACACAAATTATACAGCTGTTAACACAAAGCGAACTATGAATGAGTGCTGAAATGACGTGACATGATGATGATGATGATGGTCATAGAATTTCAACAGCGCTTCGTGACAAAACGACAGTCCTTGCTCACCAAGCTCGTCCCGTAACCACTTCGTCAGTTCGCTAGATAATCAGAGTGCAGGCGACCCATCAGGGTTTCAGTGACCTTGAATAGGTCACCGCTGTGCAGATCGGGTCACCAAGGTCACTGAGACACACTGTCTGAGCAGAACACCGAGTTCTGTAGCTGGGAGACGCCGAGGCCGAGCGCTGAGACGGCCGTCGCTGATGATAGGTCGGACGAATCGGCTGTCGACAGAAACATAGACGCGTCAGGAAAAAAAAACAGTACAAGCTAAGTCAGCTGACGGGATGGCAAAACTGTTAATACACAACATAGTCAGGGGCTTTTGGATAGCCACAGGAAGGTCACAGAAAATCACCCACCTGATGGGTTGGTAGAGGCGTCAGGGAAACATGGCCAGTGAGTGGCTAGCTCACGGATTCAAACGCCGATGTCAGAAAACACCAGGACGTGATGAGTTTGCATAGCCGTAAAAAAGTGAGCTTACTTCACTGCCAAACGGACGCATAGATACGTCAATAAAAAATGTCACAATACGGGTAATAGGTTTAGCAGAGCTCACTGAAGCACGGACACAGGCGAGCGGGAAACATGGTTCGGTTTGCGCGGATCGCGTACACTGTGCGTTCCACTCCAACGGCCGACCCTGGACGGGGTTCGCTCAGCGGTTGCCCATCGGCCAACTAAAGAGCGCAGTTAGTCGGTACCTACCAGCTGATCGGCAGTTTTGTCGCAGGGTGCGGATGTTGTCCAGCCTGGTCCGCAGTTCACACAGGTCCCGGCCGGCCCTGGCCAGGTCCTCGCCCTGTCCAAAGTCGTATGTCAGAGATGTATGTGGTACAATCATGCGGCAGAAGGCCCGTTCATAATCGGTAGACGCAATGAGACAGCACAGAGCGAGCAATAAAGGCCATGATTTCGTCGTCAGTTTTGAATAGGTCAGTTGTGAAGGAAGCATTTAAGTAGCATATATTAATAATTCAAAGCCCGGGGTGACTAAGGCATGAAACTTTGTTGAAAAGAAAGCTATCAGGAGATAATCATCATCATAAGAAAGAAAGATGCTTCATTAATAACAAGGTCTGCCTTACCAGTTTCTTGTTTGGTTTGTACATCGCCGCCTTTTGGAATGCTAGCTCAATGGCATTGACGTCCTTTATCAGAGTGGCCATATGGTTGAGCAGCGACTTCACAGCACTGCAAGGAGACAAGGGCGTCACTTACCTAATGTATACTACACAGCACCTTGCCGATACAGGCAAACGCGGGCTTGTACGATGTTCTTGTTCAAGGCTTCTGTCGCTACCATCCATACTTTCATCCAAAGGGCGATGCAGAAGTACGATCATGTCATACCTTTATGAGTGCAAAGTATGAAATACTAAAAGTCGGTGATAATCTAATTCATGCAGTGTGTGTCAATGGCCATCGTTCAGTTAGCCAATGCAGATTTGGTCCACCGACCTCTTCGCCGCTCGCTCACCCGTGCTGCTCATAGGGCAGGTCCAGTCCGTCTGAGAACTTGTTCTGCAGCAGCCGCCAGCCCAGCGGCTCCATGTTCTCACCGATACTGGCCAGCTGGCCGCCCAGCTGGTCAATCTCACTGATCAGCTCACCTGAAAACGTGCGGCCGAGATACCGGACACTAGGGTTAGCACTTAGCATAGTGAGCAATGCATGTCCGACTTCTGCAACACAATGACAGACGGGCGCGGCAACGAGCAAGACTGAAAAAGCCGGTAACCAAAATTTAGCGACACAACGTGTACCACAACATTCCGGAACCATTTCCAAGTCAAATCTGATGATCTTTGTGCATAATTCCTCTCTCCGCTCACATAACGTTCGCTTCTATCCCACCCACCCCGGACACCGCTCTCCGCGCGGGGCAGTGCCACCTACCGAGCAGGGCACCTCCGGGCAGGCGGCGCTCGGTATCGGTGAGTAGACCGGCGTCACACGCCAGCCGCGCCTCATGCAGCCGTCGGCGCATCTCGGCCAGCACCGACAGTTCCCTCAGCTGCCGCGGCACAGCAACAAGACTATGTCAGGGAGGACTGCGTGCGTCGAGTGCCGCCGCTGTGGCTCGAGTCAGTGTTGATAGGTGGTGACATCGCACCTCCAACAGCAGTGTAAGAAACATTCAGAAATTGTAACACAGAGAAATACTTGATCACAAATAAGAGTGGGGTTGACATGCCCCAAAAACCCTATGATACATAGCAGAAAGTGTGTTATCCTTGCAGAAGATCTACAGGGGATCAGCAATACTCACTAGTTGGTCATGATAACCTGAGCATACCCCACCATCCTTTGTGGTATCCATCAAACTGTCCACCTCAGAGCTCAACTTGGACTCTTCTGCAGATGCCAAGGTAGACTGCATACTATTTCCACTCTGACATTTAGATATTATAAATTTCAAACTGTCAATCTGCTTGTTCCTCCTAATAGCATCCATGGCTTTCTTGTTTATAGCTCACACAAATGAAATGAAATTCATCTGAAAATGAAAATCAGATTAATATCAAAGCATTGACATAACATTTTAGAAGCTTCAACAGGTAGGTACTAGGTACTGAACATCTCACTGGGCATTTGATTTGTAGCCTGGAGCTTTCTCAGCTGAACAATTTTCATGTTTTTCTTGGATAAAAACAATGCATAGGCAATATAAAATATAACATATTTGAAAGAGTAGAACCATAAACAGTCACTGAAGCAAGATATAAGGATTAGGATAGAAAACCAGAGAGCTTTTTAGAGATTATACACCAGCAGCATTTTATGCATTTCTTTTCTTAGTTGTAGTTGATATAAGCCGCAGCTCTCAAGGGCAGCTACTTGCCCTAAACCGCCAATCACCATACTGGCAAAAATCATACTGGACTGACGGACTCAGATTAATATACAATGCATCAGTCTCCTGAATACAGGCCAGAAATGTCTCGAAAACATTTGCCTTGTGGGCTGCAGCTTGCGCTGACGCAAGGGCGTCCTCCTGCCCAGTACAGGTTTCAAAATTCAAATAGAAAAATATAAATACTTGGTTTACGCTTCCTTCTCAAAGTGAAAGTGTCAAAATGTCTAATTTCTTCCCAAAAGCTTAATCTTTATGGGCGCTGCAGCCTGCAGGAGGAATAAATAAAGGCTATGAATAAATGCACAGCAGCAAAACAAAACTTAAAATAGAAGTGCCCCAAGTTCAAGTCAAAACCCCGTCCTCTCTTTAGACCCGCAAGAGCCAGCCGTCAATAATGCATTAGTTGCATCACCAACACAGTCTTTTTCTAATGTGAATGTCAATGTTGATGTCACATTGCAGTTTGCACTAAGGTTGCAAGTTTGCAGTTTGCTATGTAATCCCATTGCACAGAGCAATGTCAGGTTTTTCATAAATTCAGTGTCAATAAATTAAATGAATGAGAATAAATGCATAAAATAAGCTTTTCAACCCCAGCATCAAAAATTATTGAAACCGACCGCGACGTTGAGCTAGGAATAATTATGTTCTGCTGTTAGCGAGCCTTAGCGACCACTCTGCAAATTTCAAAGGAACGTCTCTGTTACCATAGTAACTGTGTGATGTACCAATGAAAAACTGTTCTCGATTGCCATTAGCAACATATTGAACACGCCCTAGACGAGGGCAATACAAACACAAACTTGCACAAGCTTCAAGAACGGCCTTGACTTCAAGCTCGTAAAGCTGCATGTCATGGGAGTGTAATTTATACCCATTTATTGGTATTTTTATCATTGCTTTGTTATTTTGAATTCAGTGCGACAAACAAGCAAATACTTCAAGCTGCTGCAATTGAATTGTGCTCCTGGTGGACGGAAGGTTGCTCCAGGTCACTGGTCAGAGGTCAAGGTGTTTTGGAATTTGGTCCCTGGATCATGATTCAGATTCAGATTCAGAAGGGGGATATTGGAATGAGGAAAATTGAGGTTAGGGCAGTGTAGAAATTCCTTTGCAAACCACTTAAAACCAGCCACTCTACCTCCCCCTCTGCTACCGGCTCCTCCCCCCCTCCCCCCGCCACGCGTTGGACAGTGGACACTGGGGCCCTGTTTTAGGGAGTGCTAGCTAGTGGGTGGAATCTGAAAACAGGGCACTTGAAGGTATATTATGTCACGTGGCTGCAAAGAAATTAATTCTCCTTCTGTTGCTGCCTTCCACAGGCTAATTGTCACTGATTTTTGCAAGCGAATTTCAAGAGCCTTGATCAAATTGCCCCAGGCGCCCTGTTTTCATATTCCACCAAACACTGTGGGCATATAGGGCGCTTTGGCATAGGCATTAGCGTCGCCACGGGGGGGGGGGGGCAAGCGAGGCAGTTTGCCCCTCCAGGCTCCAGCCTCCGAGCGATGCAGATCCGATGAGATTTTGGGATCAGCAAAAATGGGGGTAGTTTTCGAAAATGGTTGTGAAGTCAGAATTGGTTAGAGTCGTGAGTCCCAGCAAGAGTCGGAGTGAGGGTCACCAAAATCTTCTGGACTTTGACCCTTTTCCGGACTTTGACTTTGATTCAATACTTGGTTGTTTTTAGCTGAATTCTACTCTCAGTTTTCACCAGTCTACAGTACGCTGACACAAAGTTTTTGTGTGAAGACCTAGCTCGAAAATTTTGGGGTTGGGTCAGGGTCTTTTCCAGCTCTGGCTAAATGCCTGCGACATGTTCAAGTGCCGTTAAAGTGCCACGGGGCTTTTAAAGGCCGCTGTTATGCACCTTAAAAGCCCCACTGAACTCTAAGAATGACCCACGCTAACTTCCAAGGGACCCAAACCGACCTCTCGGGGCCCTCAGCCCTCAGGCCGGCACTTCTGAACACCACTTCGGTTTCCCACTGCCGATTCTGATGGCTCAGACGCAGATATTTGAGGGCTACTTGGACAGTCTTTCTGAGGGCCTCCGCCTGCCTCAACGGCCCCATACTGGCCTATGAGGGTCCTATCGGTGTCCAATGGCCAATGGCAGTCTCTGATAGCTCATTCCAATCATCCATACGGCAGGTCTATCATTTGAAAGCCTACACGGATCTTTGAACAAGGGTCTTCAAAGATTTTTTGAAACCTTCGCTGACCTCTATTAGTTAGCCCAGCTGAGCTCTTGAGGCAACACAGGGCTCTTGCAGGCCCAAAACCAGCATCTGAGGACCACATGTGCTTCTGAGCAGGGCTGCGGGGTCGGGGTTGGACTTTGCGAGTCGGCCGGGTCGACAGCTCCGACCGGAGTCGGAGCCGATTTGGGGAGCCGGGGTCGAAGCTGATTTTGGAAGCCGGGGTCGAAGTCGAGTCGAAGATACAAAAAAAAAATACATAACAAAAACTGCAATTATGCATACAAGAAACGGATTTTTAGAAGGGCGAACCGACTGCCTGGATTATTTTTAATTTCTTCTGGATGAGGATCGGGAGTACCTGCACAGAGGCCCGTCTGAGGAAGGGGGTCCCCACAGACCCACTGTGCCCTCCTGCCTCCCCATAACAAGGTTTTACCCTGCTAAAACTGACGTACCCAACGGGTAAATATTTGGGGTGACCCACATCGATCTCTGGGATCCTAAGCAGTGAGCAGGCTTCTGAGAGTCCACACTGACCCTGAGTGCCCTGAAATGGCCTTGGAAGTCCCGACCCTATCTCTAAGGAATCCCTTACCGGTATGCCGTGCGTAACTTGTGGTTCCGTTTAACATTTTTTGTTCGCGTTTGCAGCGCTTCCCTTCATACGAAAAACGAGAAACTTTTTGTTCACGCTCGGGTGAACAAAACGCTTCCTCTCACTGGAGCAAAGATGAATTACTTTCGATTCACACTTCCGACATTCACTCTCCGTCGAATGCCCAACTTAGCTACTATCGGCGGCTGGGATAAGCATTTCATGTAAAACCTCTGCATTCATGCGTGAATGGAGGTTTTAGCAGGGTGATCCGATTAAATGGAGCGTTTTTCACCTTTTTCTGGATGATGATCATGAGCGACGAGCGTCTGCACAGGGGCCCTCTGCAATGCATCGGCAATCGCAGCCACTGTAATTCTACCGGTCGTTTTTGTCCAGAAATGTCAAATCCCGAACTTTTCTGTAAAAAATGCATGTCATAGCTAGAAGGAAAGCTTTATCACCATCGGATTCCTTATCTGTAAGAATCTTGGGATTCCTCGCACCATTGCGCGTCGAATGATATGTAAAACGAGTGAGTAACGACTGGGTAAGGCAAGATTTAACACAAAAGTTGATTTTGCCCCCCCCCCCCCAACCGAAAATCTCTGGCGACACCTATGATGGCCGGTCCTGTCACTGACTTCGCCTGGCTACGGCGTACCACCAGCCACAACTGACCATACCTGCCAGGAGGCCCATAAACGTCAAGCGCCCGTCGCGAGTCAAACCCTGGTGTAACCGGAAACGCGTGCTCTCACCACGTGGAGTCCAACGCTCTACCAACTGAGCTATGGGTTCGACTGAGATCTGTACCAAATTTCAGCGAAAAGTAGCTGGATTATTTTAAAGAAATAGTAAAAAGTCATAACACCTTGAAATAGCTTTCTAGTTATCATGGATGTGTGACAACCCTGTATCAGAAGCCCATTGCAATGATCAATTCAACATGTCTCTGAGTGACCAGTTTTGTTCCTAAACTCTGACTTGGCTTGTGCTGAGCACTGGCTGTTCTGTGTCTATTTCAATAGGTATCAACATTTTGTAGATGAAGCTTCAAGTTCAGCCTACTTCAAATTTGAATTGTGTTATGTGGAACAAGTTATGTGGTTATTTAATGTTCAATGTCGATATGTTTCAGGATGTTACCTCAATTGCTCAAGGCGGGTGCAGCTCTTGCTGCCACCACTGCTGCAGTAACACTTGGGAAAGGATATATTGGGACTCTCCAATCTGAAGATGCATCGTCAACCACATCTGCTGATCAAGAAGCATCTTGGCCTGGTGACCTGGATCATACAAAATTAGAGGTAACAATATGTTCTCTCATGATTTGTCTTTTTAAAAAACCATTGTTTGTTTGTGATTCATTTCCCCCAGTACCTACATCCTTTTACTTTTGCATGATCAGCCATGAACGAGCCATTTTACTATCCAGGCGTACAGATGGCAGTTAAGATGGCCATCTTACTAATTAATTTAAGCAGGGCTGCGGAATCGGAGTCGGAGCCGGTCGGTGTCGAGAGTTCTTCGTCGAGTCGGAGTCGAGTTGGTGTCGCCAAAATCTTACCGACTCCGACTCCGGAGTCGGAGTTGACACTGCATGGCTCGGTGTCATATCCTACACCTGTTCGCTTGAAGCTACTACTCTCGTTGACCTTTCAAAGTCAGATTTTCTCGAAAGAGGCCATATTCCTGTTTTCGATGAGCGTTTTTAGCCAAAAAAAGCAGAAGACGGCAGATTCCCCGAAACCTGCTTTTTATTCTATAGGCTATTTTTAAAACAATTTTGCAATGCAAGGCTTTGGAATGGGCAAGTAATCGTTTCAGACATAATAATGCATCTGGCCACCATTAGATTTATTATCCTGGACTTGGACTATAGGGAAAACGTCTGGAGTCGGAGCTGGAGTCGTAATCGGAATCGGAGTCGATATTTGAAGCCGGGGTCAGGGTCGGAGTCATCCCAAAATGCATCGACTCCGCATCCGGCTATGGGTGGAGCTTTTCCAGGGAAGTTGGTGGGGCAAAAAGTCGTCAAACCCACAATGTCCGATTATGAGGTTGTATTGTATTGTATTCATAAAAAACAATTTTGCAATGCAAGGTTGAATAAAATGCCACACTGAATCAATTTCTATCATTACAGATATAATATTTTGCGTTAAACATACATTCCATAGCTCTTCAATGCGAAAAAGATTATTTTGCAAAGCAACAAAGTCTTAGAAATCAGCTGAAGTTGATGGGGAAAAACGCTTATTGGTGGGGCAAAATACCAAGTTGGTGGGGCAGCCGCCCCAGCAACTGTATAGGAAGCTCCGCCCCTACGCATCCCTGGATGTAAGCACTTTCTGAATGTATTCTGTGTTTGCAGAAAATAAAGGATGCTGCCCGGGAGCTGGTCTTGAGAAAGAAGGAGGAGTGTGGAGCGCCGGGCGTGACAATCGCTGTCTCAAAAAATGGACGTCCGGTCTGGGCCGAGGGTGAGATCGAAATTCGAATGGAATTCAGAATGCGATATGTCCCAACTTAGTGTTGAATCTGTTGATCTCCTGTCTGGTCCATGGCTGCTTATTGTTGATGGTGTAGACTCCCCGTCTGTCTCATTTAGCGCCGTCGGTTATTTTCGTACAGCGCCGAGCTGGTTCCGACAGTGTCGTTCGTTGACGCGCTTCTCGGGGTGTCCCCCCTCCCCTGCTGAGCAGGTTTCGGGTACGCTGATGTGGAGAATTTTACTCCGATGACTCCGCGGCACGTGCTGAGAATCGCCAGTATCAGCAAACCGATCACGATGGCACTGGTGGCACGTGCTATGGACGCCGGTCTTCTGGACGCGAACCACACCGTGCACCACTACCTGCCTCACTACCCGCGCCACAGCGTCGACGGCGAGCAGGTGGGCCAGCCAGCTCACCGCCGGTGTCACCTGGATGTGTACCTATATTAAGTGCGTAGCTTAGATGTGTACTTTGTGTACTTAGATGTAGCTGGGTGGTCACTGCCAGGGGACAGCTTCGATTGTTTATGTGGTCACACGTTTTGGACACACGCTAACTATGACACAGCATGGAGACACAGCATTAAGGGTAAATTTATCTGGGGTGGGTGGACGTGCCATTGGTTTCGTTGAGAGAATTTCGTCCCTGTAGCTTTTTCTAGTTCTACTTTTTGGTATTGTGACAAGAGGTAACATGAGATGGATCACAAATGAAATTTACGTTAGTGACGTTCCAGTCAGTTTTTTTTTTTACCAGTCCCATTTCTTTCAGGTGGACATGACCATAGACCAGATTGCGACGCACCAAGCGGGTATCAGACATTATCATAAGAAGCCAGATGCTCATATTATGAAGCAAAATTCTGAAAACTCGAAGAAGAAGAAACTTGCACATGAGGTGTTGGAACATGAGAGTAAACGTCGCTCGAACTCGGGAGATGATAAGGAGTCGGCCGGACGTGCCGATTTCGCAGACACCGACAGCGAAAAGCCAGATTCAGGGGAAAAGAAGATTCAGTCTGAAAAGAAGCAAACAAAGCCAGTGCCGGCCAAAGAATTTCACACCACCGACAAGTATGACAACGTTGGAGAAGCCCTGAGTGTCTTTAAGGATGACGAGCTCATCCACAAGCCAGGTGATTTTGTATACTTTCTTACGCTGCCTTACTCTGTAGGAGTAAGTATTGTTTTACCTTTATGCTCCATTGTTAGTTTAAAGTACGTTTGTGTTTACATCAGTTCATTGTAAAATCTAGCTTTGACAAGTCGCTCCTAGATCACAGTCGTTGCCGCCGCTGTGCACCGCACTACTTACCGCTGCCATCCTACCGGACCCACTCTACCCCTGACACCTCCCGCCTTCTCTCCATTCTGACCAGGCTCTGACTTCCACTACTCGACGCACGGATACACACTTATCAGCGCTGTGCTGGAGGCAGCCACTGGGGCCCGCTTCAGAGACCAGCTGCGCCGCATGTTCTACGCCATGGATCTACGCTCCACGTATGTGGATGAGAATGACACCATCATCCGGAATCGGTCCAGGTGCGTTACCGCCAGCCACTGCCTGGCACTTGGTAGCCGGGAAGCATGGATGCAGCTTGCGTAGTTGCCGTAGTGTGTATTGCCAGCTTCTTGGTAGATATGACACGAAGTATTAACTATTAGTACTAGTTTGTACCAGTTGTCAGCTTGCGCCATTAAGCTTGGATTTTCGTCGATTTATGACACTGACAACTCTTGAAATAAGTGGAGCTTCGCTCATTCGCTAGCGCTTATCGATCTCATTTTTCAAGCATCTCTCTCTCTCTCTCTCTCTCTCTCTCTCTCTCTCTCTCTCTCTCTCTCTCTCTCTCTCTCTCTCTCTCTCTCTCTCTCTCTCTCTCTCTCTCTCTCTCTCTCTCTCTCTCTCTTTCTCTCTTTCTCTCTTTCTCTCTTTCTCTCTTTCTCTCTTTCTCTCTTTCTCTCTTTCTCTCTTTCTCTCTTTCTCTCTCTCTCTCTCTCTCTCTCTCTCTCTCTCTCTCTCTCTCTCTCTCTCTCTCTCTCTCTCTCTCTCTCTCTCTCTCTTTCTCTCTTTCTCTCTTTCTCTCTTTCTCTCTTTCTCTCTCTCTCTCTCTCTCTCTCTCTCTCTCTCTCTCTCTCTCTCTCTCTCTCTCTCTCTCTCTCTCTCTCTCTCTCTCTCTCTCTCTCTCTCTCTCTCTCTCTCTCTCTCTCTCTCTCTGTCTCTCCCTCTCACATCTGACTGCTCGCTCGATATCCAGGTATTACGTGCGTGGCAAAGCTGGCAAGCTGCAGAACGCGCAGCACGTCGACAACACGTGGAAGATCGCCGGCGGCGGCCTGCTGTCGACTCCGACGGACCTATGTCGGTTTGCCGACATTATGCTGTACAGCTGGCAGGCGGACGAAGGTGCGCAGCCGGCCGGCTACCTGCGCCCGGCCACGGCGCGCTGGCTATGGACGCCGGCGCCGCCACCACCGCCGCCTACCGGCCGCCGCCGCCGCCCCTGGACACCCAACAGGTTCGCGCGCGGCTGGCACGTGGGTCGCGAGCAGCCGGAGCTGGGCGCCGGCCCGGGCGCCGCTATGGTGGCCTATCACACGGGCGGCGCGGCCGGCTGCAGCTCCATACTGCTGGTGCGGCCCGACGGTCAGCGGACCGGGAACGACGGACGGCCGCGCGGCGTGGCGGTGGCCGTCATTGCCAACGCGCAGGACATCAGTCTGAGAGAGGTGGCTGACGACGTGGCGCGGCTGTTCGCCGAATGAGAGCGCCGCAGCTGTGCGTCCTTCGATCACCCACCGTCGCTCCGCCCTGACTAATCACCTTCCGTTCACCAGCGAACCACCCGCTCGCCCGGCCATCTACCACTGTCCCTCCGCTCTGGCTGTCCACCTGCCCATCCGGCCTGCCGTCAACCTACCGGCCGAGCCTACGTACCCAGTCCACCCATCCACCTACCCACCGACGGGCCGAGCCTACTCAGTACTCACTTATCCACCGACCGACCGGCCTCCGCCAGTCCTTACTCTCAGACTATCCGGCTGTCTACCCATCGTCCACCCGCCCACCGTCTTTCCGCCCTGAATGACCGACGCCCGTCCGTTGGCCGCCGACTGACCCGGCCCCGTCCGTCGCCCGTCCGTTGGCCGCCTCCCGCCGACTGGCCACCGTCTTCCCGCCCGATCCCGTCCGTCGCCCCTCTCGGCCCGCCCGGTCTCGTCATTCGCCCGCCGCCTGGTCCGCCCGGACCGCGAGACCCTATCAACCCTCTCACCCGGCATTGGGTCTAAACGACTGACACAGTTCCTGGTACCGGGTCTAAACGACTGACACAGTGACACAGTTCCTGGTACCTACCGAGTCTAAACGACGGGCACAGTCCCCACAGTCCCCATCGTCCGCCAGCCACCAGCGCGGTTCAACTTAGCAGCGGATCACTTGGATTGCCACCAATCTACTCCGAGGATTCATTTTAGTAGTGTTTATCGCTCATGACTTAGCGTGATGTCCCAATGTCGTGATGTCCGTTGTGGTAGCCGTTTGTCATGGTAAGGCTAGCTTTAGACAGGTCACTTTGAAGTTGATAAGCTGTAGGTTAACTTGGATTGAATGGAAGATACCTACATATCGACACCTTTTTTTAAACCCCACATCTGCTCTCCCGTGAATATCCGGGAGGCACGAAAGATCTCCTTTTAAAAGTGTCCAATCGTCCGATCCTGATCAAATGTGTGTGTTCGTAGGCCTGTTCTGGTATTGCTTTATCTGCCAAGACAGACAAACTTGAGAAAAATCGAGTGATTGTACCTTTTTTGAAGGTCTCTTACCAAATTGACTGAAATTCACCGGAGAACAAATGTGGGGTTAAAAAAAAGGTGTCGATGTCATAGATAGAGAGATTTGATTGCCATGAATAATACCTAACGAAAAAGCCTACCTAAAAAAAAAATACTTTCAATTTCATCATCGGCTCCATATGCCTAGAACAAGCTCTTCTGTTGCAAATTTACCCAATTCAGCTGTTATAAAAAATATATTTAGAAATGTAAAACTAAAATGCATGATAATGCAGCAGCGCCGAATTTGAACGAGGGTGTGCTGTATGCAGGGAGTAGGTATGTGGATTGTGGAATTGGAAACGTTTTTCGACTGTGATTAGCTGTGGCTCAGGTGATCGTGTCCGTTCTTCAATTTCATCGTGGCGATTTATCAACTTACATTTATCATATGTGTACATGTTTGCATTATGTGAGAGTAGAGTATGTACTGTGTATGCAAGCATGCGTGATTTGTACTCGGTGTGTAATTTTGTAGCGTGTTTAGAGGCCACTACCTCTACCCATTGGCTAGCAGTACACCTTTCGGTAATTGCTGGTATCATTCACGGCATATTGTTGCTGAAAGGTTGTCCATTGTACAACCAGCGTTTGCTGTATGTGACTATTGTGCTGGCATTGGACCCAAATGAAAATTTCAAAGAATGCTCGATGACCTGTGATCATGTGAGGAGTGTGCCATATGGTACCGTGTGTGATCTCATGTTGTAATTTTAGTGTCGATATATGCCAAGCACTAGTTCTCTTGCATGGCTCATCAATGAGAGGCTTTCATTGATAAGCGATGCAAGAGAACTAGAGAACTGAGAGCAAAATGCAAACACCTAGTGATTTCGTCTCATGAGCCTGTAAAGTGCAAGATATCACCTGCAGCATCAGTATGTGACAACTTCCTCGACACTGAACGCAAAACTGGCATCGATAAGGTGCGCTTGTTTTGTCTTGTTTTGTTCAAGGCTCAAGCATGTTTCTACCTGAGATGAGGAATTGATTCTGTGCCATACGTTTCACCGGATAAAGTGTATTTTGCTAATGTTTAACCTTCTTTCATCACGTCAATTTTCAGAGAAACTGTGGCCAGACCACTCGCGACCGTAGTATTTTCACCAAACAGAGTTCGGCCATCGGTCCGATACCGGGACAATCTGGACCTGTTGATTGTCCAGGCTGATGGCCTGCGCTCACATCTTCACCACTGTTTGCGCCGAGTGGGTGGGCGTGGTGAAGGGCTGTGATTAGAACAACTACGCCCAGCCGGGCGTGTGGTAGGAGCAGCCGGCGAAACAGATCTGACGGTGATTTACAAACATTACCGAATATAATTGATGTGAATTTAAATGTGTTTTCGAGCTGAGACGACTCGTGGGCTTCTGGGGATAGTAATGTTAGTGATGTCTTGTAAAGCTGAGGAAATCTGTTTATCTGCTTAGGAGAATCTAATTATGTCCATACACATATTGTTTTCTGTGACAAATTCATTTACTTTGTGACTCATACCATAGTTGTTACCAAATTAGAGTTTAAAAAATGGTTATACATTATATCCTAGCTGTTGAATCACTCTTTGGCACTTGCGATTGATATAGTCGATCTGTTTGGGCGAGAGGCGTTCTTTCCATCGATCTACATGTTCGGCCGAGTTTTTGAGCACGGACCACGGCTCGCTGCTCTCGGTGCCGCTGCGGGTGCTCTCGTCGACGATACGGTCGACCTCGGCGCTCCAGCGGAAGCTCACAAACTCGAAGATGTCTCTGAGCTGACGGCGCGGCTGGGTGGCCAGCTGTTCGTATCGCACCAGGCGCAGGCCGGCCGGGAAGCGCGCCTGCAGCTCGCGCAGCGCTGCCAGATCGTCCTCGATGTCGGCACAGAGCCGCGCCGGCTGCACGCACTCGTCCGAGCGGCGGCACCAGCGCACCGAGCTGAGACGCGAGCTCAGTGTGGCGCGCGGGTCGCGCACCAAATACACCACTCGAGCGCCGGCGCGCAGCTGCGGCTCGAGCTCGCGCAGCCGCAGCCGCACCAGTTTGAACACGTGAAGCGGCAGCAGCCGGCAGGCGGCGCTCAGAAACGCCTCGTTGGTGCACGCGTTGCGATTGGGGCCGCGCTGGCACGCGCTCCAGACGCGCGGGTTGTGCGATAGCATGTCCTCCGTGTTAGTGCGCGTAGCGTTCATGTAGTCTGGGATGCGGCTGTAGCGGCACGCGAGCAGCTCGTCGAGCGTGAATTGGGCGGCGCGGCGCTGCTGATCGGAGCGGGCCTGGTGCACGCCCAGCGCCGACAGCGGCTCGTAGTGGGTGAACACGCCGGCCGGCGCCGACAGCACGTGGCCCAGGAACGTGGAGCCCGAGCGCCACGTGGTGGCCAGGAAGACGGGCGGCGGCAGCTGGTCAGGCAGCTGGCCGCTCTCCGTGTCCAGCTGTAGCTGCAGCAGCCGCAGCGCAGCCGATATCTCCGACGCGTTGGCCGGACGGTTGCGCGCTATCGCCTTCCGTCGGCGCACCTCGTACAGTTTGGCCATCTCCTCGGCAAACAGGGGCACGCCCGAGGCGGGGTCGATGACGACCTGGGGCCGACCCCCGGCGGGGGCCAGCCGCACCTGGAGTTCACTCAGATGGCGCAGAGCCTCCTCGCGCGCTGTCTCGTCGAATGGGTCCGGGCCGAGGTCAAACGGCTCCTCGGTGACCTCGGCGATCTTTTGGAGATATTTGACCTCGGGTGCTCCGGTGATCTTTGGGAGCCGTGTCTCCTTTGTTGATGCTGCCGGAGAGAATCCATGGTCACTTTTACGATAATCGTGGCACAGAAGGCCTATTTTTTATTCGCTGTAGCTGTTTTTTTTTTACTACTAACGAAAAGCATTAAGCATATGTACACATCATAACAACATATAAAGTTATGCACTTATACGGAGCAGCCAGGTGTTTGAGCAATGAAATGAGATCTTTTACTTGTTTTTATGACTTCATATATTAATGGTAGCTCGATATCAATCACGTTTCTTGTGTTATACTTTCTACCTATCAATGTCTCCAGGCAGCTTTTCCACTTCGCAATCGCGGCTCGGCATTCAGAGTCTACTGATGTTTGATTGTGTTGATTGAGTGAAAGTGACTACGTAAGCAGCCTTATCTGTTTTGTACGAGGCATAATAGCAACAGAAACCAGCCATGTCAGTAGCCATAAGACAAATGTAGTTATGTCATAGTTTGACACTGACAGTGCCTTTTATCATAAAATGACTACGGGGTGGAGGAACGAGCAACATTTTGCTTCAGCTGACATTGCAAACACTAAAATCTTCAAGGTCCTGTCAAATGTTTTGTACTTTAACGGTATTGCAGTTCATTGATTACCTTACAACACAACAAGGTAATTATTTGCCTGAACCGACTCCTACAGCAGACAATGTCTGTCGGACGGATATTCTCATACGTACCCGTCATTACCGCTCCTCCCGGCCGCACGGTGTCGGTGAGACCTCCGGCCGTGGCGGTGAGTCCGACGGTCAGGAGACGGTTGAGCGGCACCCTGTCGTCGGGAGCGACGGGGGTGCGTCTGTCGAGCAGCCGTCGCGACGAGAGGAGCAGCGAGAGAAGAGTGATGAGCGCCAACAGCAGCGCCGCCACCGAACAGCGCCTGGAGGGGGATGGACGGAGTCAATGACGCTGGGCACAAGGATGGCTCTAGGAACGACACGTCACATCGCTAGATAATGTATGTGAATTTCTAGGTGGCATGTTTCAGTCAACTTATTCGACTTTTGATGATCGATATAATTGCTAGTCTGACTATACCTCAATGTTCGCGTGTTAATTGGGCTTATCTAACAGTTTCGTAGAGAATGAGCACTCAGGTGCTGCCTGCAGTATCGGGTTTATGACTTAATTATGAAGTGATAATTGTCCCTAGCATTTGCACATAGCGTTACTATTTCTCACCTCAGTCGACCCATGTTGTTGCTCTGCCGCTGGCTGTGACGCCTCGTCTTTATAACCGCTCCGTCCTATTGACCGCAGATAATTAACTGTTACACTCCCACAGGTGAGCGTTTATGACATCGCCGGATCATCGAGATCACAACACTCGCAGCGGGTCTCCGTTCGTCTGAGGTCTCTAGGATTTCTCCAGCAAGGTCAGTCCAACGAACACTACATCACTCAGGTCACTGTTGCACGCTTTGTAGGTCACCCGGTCACTGGGAGCCAACCATTAGGGCACTTGCTCGTCAAGGTCAACCTCGTGGGTTTCCGGTCACTGGAGTTCACCACTATACATATACTCTGGTTATCACTGCACATTCTGGATCGTACCACTGCCACTGTCTCGCCTATGCATTCCTGTTTGTACCCTGATCACCGTTCCGCCATCACAAGGACGTACTCGCTTCTACACATCTGACTTTATCACATAGGGGAGAGTGGGGCAAAGCGGCCACCCGGGGCAAAGCGGCCACCCATCGTTTTAGCCCTTCATAGCTGGCGTCAGTTCCAATTTATGGTTTCCAATTATACTTCTCTGCACGGTCGTTCGAATGAGCCAGACCGGGGTTTCAGGCCCATCACCATTGTTCTGTGAAACACGGAAAAGCATTTCTTGCCAGGTTACCAACTATGTTTACAATTTTTAAATGTTATGTTATTCCATAACCGTTTGGAATTTTTATAAGCGTTCTTGTCCATGCATTGCATGGGTATTGTACATGTATTCTACCAATTTTAATGTTTTTTACCCCACTAATAGCTAAGCTGGAATATTTTTGTCTCGGACGGTATGCGCGGGGCAAAGTGGCCGGGGCAAAGTGGCCACCCCCCAATTGGGCATAAGTTGCTTCCATCTGGATAAAAAACATTATTTATATTCAAATGTGTCGTCATGCATTCATCTTTGCCACTTTTCAGTTGCATGAGTTACCAAATAATGCAATTAAATGTTTATTTTCATGAAAATCCTTTCTTTGTTTACCTACAGGTGGAAGATGATAAAGTAAACATCCATCCTCGCTTAACCTTGTCACCATCAAATACCCTAGTCGTGCACGAGGCAACTATTTTGTTTCTCATATCGGGACTTGAGAAGACGCCGGTGGCCGCTTTGCCCCAGGGTATGGGGCAAAGTGGCCAATATGCATAGGTTTAAAGTTTTGTCAATATCTTTCATATGTGAACGCCTTTGGAAATAAAACGCAGTTGAAATTAAAGGCAACTTAATAGGGATCACATTGGTATAGAAAGAATCTTTCCAAGTTTAAAAATCAAGCGTTGGCATCGTGAGAAGTGTTAGGGTGGCCGCTTTGCCCCACTCTCCCCTACACCGTTCTTCACTTTGTTCCACCGCCACTGTCGCCTTCGCCTTTCTATCGCCTTCGTCTCCGTCTTCCGTTTTCTCCGTCTCCGTTTTCGTCACTGATGGACGGACGTCGCCTGGAGACACTGTATTTGTCTCACTATAGCCCGATCCCCTGGTCGCTCTGTACCGCCTCACAATAGCTCGGTCGGCCGGTCTCGCTGCACCGTTTCACGGGCGCGGGCGGTCGCGCTCCAGTCGCCCGGTCGACTGGCGCTGCCGGCGGCGGGAGCCTCCGCTGCCGGAGTGTTGCTGGGTGACGGCGGCGGTGTGGGGAAAGTGAGCGACCCGGCGTGCCTCTACCTCCGCTTACCGCCGCTCGCCGCCGCTCGGTGGGCGCATCATTTACCACACTGCCTCCTCCCGGGCGGCTGTCGGCTCTCTCCTCTCCATTCAGTGTTTGGTAATGGGAAAAGCTGGGTTGGGATGGGCTGAGAGTGGGTCGTGTCGTTGCATGGCATGAGTTCACAGAGTAATTTTGGGGGCTAACGGTATGCCTCATCGATTGCCGGTAGACTAGTCAAGAAACCAATAGCAGACCAGACCAGACCACAAGCAGCAAGCCCATAGCAGGGGTGAGAGATCACTAAACAGCATTTGACTTGACGGTACAAACCACTTGTCAATCCACCTCACCACGTCAGATAATATCACTGCAAACTGCTACATATCAACCACGACAGACCGAAGTTACAACACCTACCAACAAACCAAGTCACCTCACTGAAGACCACAACAAACCATAGCATAGCACAACAAACCACAACAAACCACTAGGTACTAGTTACCTGCGGTGAGATGACTGTCTCCTTCAGCAGACCTTGAAGGGGCGCATCACCATCTCTGAGCTCGCCCTTCGACTTTGAATTGCAACAGCATTGCACTGCTATTAGCATTGCAACAGCCGCTACTGCGAGCTGATTACCATGCGTTGTCGTTGTCATGGCAACGGTGCAGACTCGTGGGATTCTGTGAGCGATGCATTGACGGAGAGGTAACATCTGTCGGCTCTCTCACGTCGGTGAGAGGCGAGTGCCGACTGACTCCATGGTTTTTATTGTCGGTTGATGGCTCAGAAACCACTCTGTCAATGTCCGCTGCGTAGGCAAAAGGTTTGCCCAAGCTGCTTTTGTGCCCATGGGCTCGTACCTATCATGAAATTAATTCTCCATGTGCAGTACTCACGGTCACGTGATAGCAAAAGTGAAATTGGTCTTCGAGTTCAGTATATAATATTGTGTATAATATATCCTAATATATAATCAGTATAGGTATGGTACCTATAGTATTGTGATTGGTCATGTGTGATGTGGGACACTTAAAGGCTTTCCGTTAATCTAGCACATTGATACCCACCGGCAAGGGCCTACATGGTCGTATACCTACTTGATAGGCATTTGACTTTGGAAAGGCCAAGAGAACGCGACAGGATCTTCCTGTTCCCCTTCACTTTCCGTTTGCCCGTTTTTATTGATTTTTTTTTTTGTTCTGATTGTTCCATCCATTTCACGTCTATAAATAGACCAGAATATTTTGCAAGGAAATGATGAGCTGTTCAATCGGTCTATAACGCAGGCGTGTTAGTTGCTGTGAGCCGGGCCTTGTCGGTGCTTTCCGTGGTTCTGAAAATGCAGGGTCCTAGTGGGTCTGCAGCCCAGGAACGGTTCGCGGAATTATGTTACAGTTACAAGGCCGGTCGGGCCGTTGAATCTTGAGGAAACCCTATTCAAACCCAGACCGGATTCCCTTGGCATTGTCCTTTGCATTCGTGATAAGTTTTGATAAAAATGCCGCACTTAGCGCAAACATCAGGTAAACTGATCGCAATGAAAACGCTTTTTTTGTGGTTGCACGTTCATTTGAAGACTTGTGTATTAAACACCCTTGCTAGGCTGCTGTCAAGCTGCTGCTATTACATTCAAGTCGCTTGATGCAAACAACGCTTGTTTAGGTTAGGTACCTTAACTTGAAATCCGTTAACCCTTATATTAAACTTCTTTGGGTTATCATTTTTGCCCCATTATCTGTCATGAGGAAAATAAATGTTACATTTGACCTTTTCTAGAATGTTATTTCTTCACTGATCGAAGGCTTCCGCACAGAAATGATTTGAATTAAGTTGCAACAAATTATATTCTTCGCGATTGCGACATTGTTGGCAACGTTTCCTGACCGTCTAAAATAAAATAGCAAGCAAATCCTCTAGACGGCAAACACCACGGTTTGCAGCGCCGATGAACATGCCAGACAGTAGGCACTAGGCACTAGGCAGGCGGTCTCAGTCAGCCGCAAATCAGAGGTTATAGAAGAGAAGGAAATGATGGAATAGTTATCGGCCGCTGCTGGTGCATATAACTAGTAGGTGCTGTTATACACTTTTGTTAAAATCATTTGCATATCGCTTGATGTATTAATAAAGCTATAAATAATGCATACGATCACATTATAACATGCGGTCAATAGTTTACTAGCGTTATCGCGACTTAAATATTAAAATGCGGAGTGCATGGCAATAATGCACGATAAGAGGCATCCAGTGGACATGTATCGACACCACCGATTAGTTTTCCTTCGCTCCGTCCTTTTCAGGCTGAACCTCGGATCGGGTCACTCGACTGGGTAGCGTCTCACATTCTGGGTAATCGCTCTTCCTGCGGCCATTTACCTCCGGAAACTGGTAGTCTCGGACTCGTTCTATTTTTACAAACTAGGAACGTTGTTAGCTTTAAATGCATCACTCGCTCACACGCACGGCTAAATGTGGACTCAGATGCCCTGAAACGTTCAATTACAGAGCGCAGACGATGAACAGGATGGTAGTGTGAACACTGAACATCGCAAAACATTAAACACATCAGTTTATAAGCGGTAGACACGTAAGCGGGTGTTAAAAGTTGCCCTGTGTCGTGAAATGCTACACAAACATTATCGTTTCTAATCACTTCTCATTAGCAGTAATTCGGGGACCATCGGAGACTCCCGAAAAATGGTTAATAAGCGTCTCTAAGCACATTCTTTGGCGCTCTCATCGACAGCTGTCGATACTCACAGGTCCGGCTCGATACTCCCTTTGTGGCGTCTGACCCTGAATACGGCTGCGTTTCAGTGACGGTCAACATTGAGGCACATTTGTCCGGCTTGGTTCACGATCGCCGTGTCATTGTCTGTCGTATTCGTGAGAATGTCTATTTGTCGTCTGTCTGACGTCTGTGTCTCTTTATCCTCGTCGTGTATCTGTCCGTGGCCCTGTCACTGTCCCCCTCCCACCTCCCCCCCGTCTCTGTGTCACTGTCCTCTTGACAGTGTCTTCGTGTCATGGAGCGCAGTGTCCGCCCATGGCAGTGTCTCTGTCACTATCATGGTGTCAGTGTCTCATTTGCCAGTGTTGTCAGTGTGGCATTTGCCGGTGTTGTCCATGTGTCACTGGCCCTGTGTCAGTGTCTCCGTGTCAGTGGCTTCGTGTCAGGGAGCGCAGAGTCCGCAGCGTGGCCGGTCGCTCGGCGTCGGCCGGCCCCAGCCGTGTCAGCGTGTCAGTGTGTCTGTGTCAGTGTCTCCGTGTCAGGGAGCGCAGTGTCCGCAGCGTGGCCGGCCTCTCGGCGTCGGCCGGCCCCAGCCGTGTCAGTGTGTCAGTGTCACCGTGTCAGTGCCTCCGTGTCAGGGAGCGCAGAGTCCGCAGCGTGGCCGGTCGCTCGGCGTCAGTGTGTCAGTGTGTCTGTGTCAGTGTTTCCGTGTCAGGGAGCGCAGAGTCCGCAGTGTCGCCGATCGCTCGGTGTTATCCGTGTCAGTGTGTTAGTACCCCTGTGTCAGTGTCTTCGTGTCAGGGAGCGCAGAGTCCGCAGCGTGGCCGGTCGCTCGGCGTCGGCCGGCCCCAGCCGCTGTCGGCTGCTGTTCAGAGTGCTGGTCGATGGCAGAGTCTCCCTTAGCTTGCTCCGCCGCCGCCAGTAGACGCAGGAACAGCACACCACCAGCATCACGGCCTGGAGACAGACGGCCGACGAGAACGGGCGTCACCTACTCAGCGTGGGACGCACACTTTCACTTCCGGCAATTGTGGCTGGGTTTACATTTGGAGCGGTGATTGTATCAAACTTCAGTTAACTGAGTCAAGCTGGTCAGACACCGTGGTGCAGCTCACCTGCAGGAAGACGGCGGCGGCGATACCGGCGATGACGGCCTCTCTCTTGGCGCAGAGCAGATCCGCGGCCCGTCCGTCCCGCAGCCCCGGCTCAGAGACACGGGGCTCGTCCAGCTGCCGCTCACTAGCGCCACCTACAACTATCTCGCGCTGCAGTGGCGCCGCTTCGTGGAGGATGCGCTGACCGGTGACAGGGTCCACGGTGGGCAAGGAGCGGTGGTGCCGGCTGTGGTGTGACCGAGAGGGCAGTCCGTCACACTGAGCCTGCGAGCAGTGATCGGAAGAGGTCAGTGACCTCGGCTCCTCAGTAAACCATGACATTTTACAAGGCACCTGTTAATTATCTTGATGTAACGGCACTCGATTTGGGCAATTTAACTTCGGCATTCCATTTGGAAACAGTCATGCTTCCTGACTGCCTGAACCTCCGAAGCAGGACTTTCCAAGTCTGAGGTTCCTGAACCTTGCGAGGTTACCTGCTGGAGACTACTCATCCACCAGTCACTGACCGGTCGGCAGCGCTCCAGGCAGAACTGGACGGTGACCTGGAAGCGCACCACTGGGTCGTCGTAGAACTTGAACACCTCGAAGGGCGCCACCACGCGGCTGCCGGAGCCGTCCTCCGGTCGGAACCGCTCCACAATGGACTCGTCCGTCGGACACCCCCGTTCGTCCAGCAGCACAATAGACTCGCCCGACCTGCCGCTCCGCGCCATCAGGTTCCGCGGGAACATGCCGAAAATGCCTGAAATCGGACAGGTGGCATTAAGAGAGGAAAGTTGGCGGTGATGAATGCAGGAGGGCCTTGACAGGAGGCCACACACACACACACACACACAGAATGTTTATTAATCAACACGTATTACCAAAAAGAGAAACGTAAGTAGGAAACAAATAGTTATACAAGGCGTTTCGAAAAAATAATAGCAGATTGGTGCAAAAGCGCCAAGCGCTTAATTCTAGGCACCTCTCTGTAAAGGAAATGAAATTAATTGCTGCTAATCACACCGCCGCCGCCAACCCGGTCACCGATGAGCGGTTGGGATGAATGCAGACCGCGCGCCGGCCCGCGGGGACAGCACCAAGGTCACAGATTGAAAATCAATGAAAAACTAGGGTTGATTTTAAAGAAAGTGTTATTGTTGACTAAATCTATTTGAGTTAATCAAGAATCTTTGGAAGTGGTGTGCCACCCGCCGCCCATCCCCGTCGCCAAGAGTTTCTCCATGAATGAGCAACCGAAGTGTCAGGTTGGAATCGAGTGGTTGGTTGTTAGTGACATTGCCGAGAATATGCAAAACGTCTCGAAAGAGTTGATTTCTTTGGTGTTCATATTTTTGGCAAAATAATGTGAAATGACGAACGTTTTCCGTCGGGTAACCACATGAACAAGCAGTGGTCGAACACTTGTTTATCTGGAACTGATGTGAATTTAATAATGACATTTCTGTTCTTAATCTGGTGTGGAGGGCATTTCCTTCCTTGGATCCAATTTTGTAATAATTTGGAGGCTTGGATACTCCCAGCCGCTCGGTAATCGCTCGCTTAAAGGATGTATGGGGTAATGACCTAATTGATTCTGGGAGCCCGTTCCATAGTTTGCCGGTTGAAAGGAAGTATGAGGATTGATAGGATGTGGTACGGTTTGCTGTGATCGTGTGGTTACTCGCGTTTCTTAGCGTTCTGCCAGTTTGTTGGATGCGAGTGGCCGGTATGATTAACTTGATATATGCAGGTGTATGTTGGCTATGTGTGAATGCATGGTACAACGATAGTTTGTGTATTTTCCTTCGAATAGTGAGTCTGTTCCACCCCAGGTCATATAATAATTTATCTGTTGGTGTTCTATATAGTGTACCGGTAACTAGTCTTCCCGCTCTGTTTTGAAGTGTCTCTAGTCTATATGCGTCCTGTGCTGTCAAGTGTCCGTCATATATGGTATCGTATAAGTCAAAGTGAGGTCTCACATATGTTTTGTAAACGTCGTCAAGAATGTCTCTGGGAATGTATGGTGCAATTGGGTAGAGTGGACTCAATGTTCTCTGTACTTTTTTGCAAATTTCATTTACATGCTGGTGGAAGCGCAAGTCTTTTGAAAATGTCATTCCGAGATGTGTATGATTGTCACATTGTGGTATCCTATCGTTTCCAAATGTTAGGGTTGGCGAAGTGTATTTTTGTTTTAGTGAAAATGTTTGTTGTTTTGTCTTGTTTGTGTTGAAAGTTATTGCCCAGTCCTGTCCATATTTGTATATTGCATCAAGGTCCTTTTGTAATGATGCCTGTGCTTTGATAGTGTCTGCTGTTGAGTAGGATGTGTAAATAGAGACGTCGTCAGCAAAGAAGAGAATGTCGTTATGTGTCTTCGTCGAAAGTCCGTCAAGATATATAAGGGCTAAAAGTGGTCCAAGGACGGATCCTTGCGGACAGCCAGCGTTTATAATTTCGGTTGCTGAAAAAGTGTCGTCAATCTTTACTCGTTGCCGTCTGTCTGATAAGTATGATTTAAGCCAGTCATGAAGAGATTCAGTGATTCCAAAGTCATGTCTGCATTTGTATAGGAGTCCTGTATGCCAAATTTTGTCGAAGTATTTTGATATATCGAGATAGATTGCTGTGAAGTCGTGTTCTGAGTCTAATGATTGGTACAAGTTATGAGTGAAATAAAGCAACTGTTGTTCGGCACTGTGGCCTCTCCGATACCCACCCTGTTTGTCTGTTAGAAGGTTGTTTTGGGAAAGATGGTCGTAGATGTGTTTGTGTACTATTTTTTCGAAAACCTTAGATAGAGATGACAAGAGACTAATAGGCCGATAGTTGCTGACTTCAGATGGAGAGCCTTTGTTTTTGAATATAGGTTTTACGTTTGCTTCTTTGAATTTAGAGGGATAAATACCAAGTGCAAGTGATTTATTGTACAGTTTTGACAATGGTTCTGCGATTAGTACGGCTGTTAGTTTTAAAAGTTTTGCAGGTATTTCGTCAGGTCCGGTTGCTTTGTTTACATCTAATGAATTTAGGAACTGTAGGACTTCTCTTTCGGATGTTTTTATTTCTCCTAGAGTGGGCACCGGCATTATTTCTGGCTCATCTCTTGGTGTGGGCAACTCTGTGTCTATGTCGAGTTTGGCCTGGTCTGAAAAATAGTTGTTTAAAAGTGTTGCTTTTGCGAAGTCGTCAGTAATTATTTCTCCGTCTGGCCTTTCAAGAGGTGGGATGTTGTCATTACGTGTCCGGCCTGTTATGGTTCGTAACGTCTGGTGGTACTTCCGAGGGTCACGTCTTTGGGATATAAGCATTGTCACTTTACGTTCTATGTACTGTTTCTTAATTTGCCTGTTCAGAGATGTAACAAAATTCCTTTGATGTTTCCAGCGTTCCCAAGCGCTTTGTGTCTGTAATTTTCGTGCTTGTTTGAAGAGTCTGTCGCGTTTCCTTATATTTCTATTCAATGTTGTGGTCATCCAAGGTTTCTGGTCGGGTCTATGTCGGATCGTTTTTTGTGGAATGGACGCTTTTGCTGCAGAGAGAAGGGTGGCTATGAATCTATCGGTCGCTTTGTCAATGTCGTCATTTAAAATGTCCTCCCAGTCTGTGTTCTGCAACAGCCTTGTTAGTAGATCTGAGTCGAGTCTTGAGTAGTCCCACAGAAACAGTTCTCTCAAAGAAAATGGCGCTTCATTGGGATGATAGATATTTTACCTGATTATTATTTACCGAAATAGCTGCTGCTTGTCAAAGTATGCCATCAAAACTTTGTACTCGGCGTTTCTGATGCTAGTTATATAAATTTTGCTATAAAGATGCTGCCTGATTGGAGAAAGGCCATGCCTCCAGTACAGGAACTGTGGCTGTCCTGCATGGTCACCACCATGTTTTCAGCTGGCGCCTGGCTATGACACCCTGTCGCGCACTCACTGTTGTCCTGCATCTCGAGGCTGAGGTAGAGCGGCTCTCCGAGCGCCGTGCCGGTGACCTCTTCCCCCGCTCTGTCTCTCACGTGCAGAGACACGATCGGCGTGGGTGCGGTGCCGTTCACTGATGACGTCACCAGGCCGCCGTCAATCCGACTGGAACATTGGGGGGGGGGGGTGCTGTTTTATTACAGGGGATTGATTTCAAGCTTTGTTGTTCTGGTGGCGTGAATCGTGATTCTTGCAGTAATTCGCTTATCAACATGTTGCTTTACTGAAAAGTGGCGCAGATGGTTGCTGACAACACCGTCGTCAGATTCTTTATATCTAAGGGAGTAGGGAAGCTATCCAGTCAAATGCGCTCACGTAAGCTTCCAGATCCATCTCCCCCGCCGAGAGTTGGTATTTTTGCCCAGCTCCCGCGCTGCGTCCACTCACTCTGTAAGCAGGGTGATGCCGTTGCTGACCGTCTGCTCAGTGGCCTCGTACGAACAGAGCAGTTTGATGGCGCTGTCCTCCCGCTTCTGGATGGTGCTGTGGTGCTGCACTGCCACCAGCGCCGTGAACGAGCCGACACTCTCACGGACCACGCCGCAGCGACGCTGGCGGGGAGAGGGAGGCGGCGTGGTCAGGGGCGCAGTCAGAGACAGAACGCTCAGAGTGGTGCACAGTTTTTGGAAAGCACATGTTCAGCAACCAGAACTTAGAGAACGGAAAACAGTTTGGTATTACTTTGTGTACTCGGGTCTGTTTTATCAGATCCCCAAGACATCTGTGGCACTGGTACGAACGTCCGCATCCACGCTTTACTGGTCACTTAGTTGGAGAAGATCAATAATCTCTGACGAAAACGTTGACGCTCGAAATCAAAATTTGATCATGTGGCCCCGCTCCGTTGCTCCCGTACCTATCTCACTCACGTCGTGGTAGATGAACGTGGCCTCGGTGGTGAGCTGGCCGGTGCCACGCACGTCGCACGTGCTCGGTGCGTCCAGTGAGAAGATACGCCCGGTGAATGGGGCGGCGGTACGCAGTCGGAGCGTCATGCGGTCCGCGGAGCACAGCAGCTCCACTGGGGAAGAGTAGAGGGAGGTCAGGAAACGGTCACTTCAAATACCAAACGGCTCTAATTCTAAACATTAGTGCCTGCTGAGCAGCCCTTCGATATCCATTCTCCGCCCCAGCCCTGTCTGGTGTGCGCCGCGCTACTCACGGTCGTGGCAAAGGGCTGCGCTGCGAGAGACCAATGCTCCACTGTTCGGTACCACCGGTGCCTGGTAGTCGCGCAGCGCTACTCACGGTCATGACAAGGTGTGCGCTGTGAGAACAGGGCGCCGCGGGTCGGCACCAGAGCCGACGGTCCCGCAGAGGCCGTGTCTTCGCTGGAGAGCCAGCACCGAGAGGTGGCCGGGCTGAACGTGAACGAACGGCACGGGAAGCTAGAGGTGGTCTCGCAAGCTCGCTGACACTGAAACGGACAGGGTTGGAGGGTCAGGGACACCGGTCCTAGGTCAGTGGCGTCAGTCGCAGGCCAGGGGCGCTAGCCACAGGTCAGATTGCATGTTGGAAGGTCTGCATACGGTCTCAGCCCTGACGACTCACTAGCGTGCCCACCCAGACCAATGTCTTCCCCTAATTCCTATCATCCTTCTGGCTTTTAAGTGGTCTCGTGAGACCGAAAGGGCCTAACCCAACAAAACAAAAACAAAAACAAAAACAAAAAAGGTACCTACTGCAGTTGGAGCTTCTATTTGAAACGATTAAGAAATTAAGCACAAACTCGATGGGAAGTTGTCAATCGGGCGCCTATACCCGTTCTCTGCTGGTTGCGGAGACCTCCAGATCACGGTACGTCATCTGTCTCTCTGGTCGTTTCTCCCAGTCGCAGCCGGTCGAGCTTACATCTGCAATCGCAATGAGTCAATTTCACTGGACTGAAGGTGATTTGAATATGAGCGAAGCGCAAGGGAGCTCCAAAGAGTCTGGAGTGGCACTGCTCGATCTACATAACAGCGCGCTTACCGTGGACCTACCAAATCCACTTCTTCCTAAATCTTAGATCATATTATAACGTCCTGGCATTGTACTGCGATTATCGGGGCTGACATTAACAAAGGCTGGTTTTAGAGACACGGGACATGCTGGTTTTCGAGGTATTCACGGGGCACACACTGGTTCTCAATGTACTCACGGGGCACACACTGATTCTCGAGATACTCACGAGGCACACACTGTTTCTACTCGTATAAGCGTACTCACGGGGCACACACTGGTTCTCGAGGTACTCACGGGGCACACACTGGTTCTCGAGGTACTCACGCGGCACACACTGGTTCTCGAGGTACTCGGTGTCGAGCGCCGGGCGCAGGGCGTTGGGCGCCGTCCGTCGGCTGCTGGAGGAGAGTCGACAGAGCCTCTGACTGGCCACGAACTCCGCCGAGCGGCAGGGCAGCTGGTGGTTGAGCAGACAGTACTCCTCACAGGTTCGGCGACTGGTGATCTCCTTCAGTACCAGGTCATCCAGGCCGGCCAGCTCGCGGCCCAGCACCCGCTCAAACACCCACGCCTTTCCGCAGGCCGGCGCTGCGGGAATATATGTAGAGTGTCTTATCAATGATCATAGTATATGCGGGATGTTGGGGCCGCCGGGATGACTGTGGTCGAGCAAAGTGGTTGAAGTCATGAGCGAGACCCAAAATGATGATAAGCACAACTATATCGACGGCACGTTATTTGTTGATGAGTTTATTCTCGAATCAGTTCGAAATTAGGTGGATGTCACTGACATAGATGAAAACGTCTTGTCGTTTTTTGACTGTGCAACGATTTCTGCGCCATGTGATGAATGCCACGGCCGCTGGTAGGCTCACCTTGCAGGCAGACCTTCTCGAAGTAGGCCGTGTGACCTCTGGCCGGTACGAGCAGGTGGTTGCGACCCTCGGAGGTCAGGTCGAGGCGGAAACAGGCGCCGCGGTCGTAGTCCACCAGAAAGGAGGGGCAGGCGGTGGAGGCGCGGCATCTGTAGGGTACGAGGCACAAGTCACATGCAATGTTGAATGTGTGGTAGTGCTTTCAGCTTTGACCCAGTGTCTTGGTTTCTGCCGATGCCAGGCAGTAGACAATGCACATGGTGGACAGTGCTGTAGCGCAGATTGCAGAGGGTGATGGATTGTGTAATATCGTGGATCTCAATATCGAATGGATTGGAAAAGGTCTGTCTCCGGCAATGTATTTTGAATGCCTTTGTAATTTTCACTGCATATTTCGGAATGCAGTTAAATATGCATGTTTGCATAGGTCACTGCATTCGTCGAAAGCCCTATCCCATCAAAAACCCAGACAGTGAAGCTACAATGCACAATTCTGCTGGCGGAATGCATTCACTCCCCTGATACACTTCGATTTTACACAATGGAACCTCTGGTAAAAAGTCCCAAAATCCATCGCATCCAAGGACTCAGTACACCCGGCACCCCTGCAATAGCATGAATCTTGCATGAAGTCCATTTCATCTCACGCCTCGGGTCTGAGGCAATCTGAGCGAAACTACGGCACGTGGGTGCGCGGAACGTATAGCTTATTGTACGGAGCACAATGCGCATTGGAATACGACCGGAATTGGGTAAGGTGCGGGGGATAGGTATTCATGCATTGCAGGAAGGCACCTGTGTGCGACTCTGCAGTAGGTAGGTTTATCACGCTACCACATCACATGAGTACATGCGATTGTACATTTGTAGATATGGTGAACCTGTTTAAGGGTTACCTGCTTCATAGATAACATGATTCATGTTACCTATGCCTGCTTATATTAGCAGCTTTACGTCATAGCATTCAGTATGGGACAATTTTAAAACAGACGTCGGCTTAAACGTTCTACCTAATGTTTTACTCGGTTTTGGTTTCATGTTACTAGCAGCACTCTTCTACTGACCTCTGGTTGCCTCTGTGTTTTTCCACTGACATGCTGGTGCACTGTGTGGTGTTTCTCCACTGACCTGCTGGTGCATTTTGTTATTGCCCCACTGACCTGCTGGTGCACTGAGTGTTCTGAGACTCCCTATGAGCTATAGAGAATAAAGATGTAGAATATTATCTCCAGTGAAATGCTGGTGCTCTGCGTGGTGAGGGCTCTTTGGAAGCTGTAGAGTATTGTTTCCACTAACCTGTTGGTGCACTGTGTCTTTTCCACTGACCTGCTGGTGCACTGTGTCTCTCTCCACTGACCTGCTGGTGCACTGCGTGGTGGTTTTCCACTGACCTGTTGGTGCCCTGTGTTTTTCCATTGACCTGCTGGTGCACTGTGTGGACGTTTTCCACTAACCTGCTGGTGCACTGTGTCTCTCTCCACTGACCTGCTGGTGCACTGGGTGGTGACGGCTCCCTGGGAGCTGTAGAGCGGGATCTGCGTTGCCGAGTGTAGCAGCACACCGGTGACCCGCTCAAACGTCTCCGTGCCCTCGCACACGGCTGAAACGGGGCTGCACATTGGTCATCGGGTCCGTCCAACCGTTGCTTGCACCGTCTTATGCCTATCCACTTCCTGAGTGAAAAGTTGAATGAAATGTGGATGTCGCCAAAAGCATAGGAAACGTGTATAGGTGTTGTGAATACACCTTTTTGCGTTGTTCGATGGCCAATCGTCATAACCACTTCGGCATCAGTTTGGACAAGCGTCATTCAGAATAACCCATCGGCGATGTGCATCACTGTTTGACGGTCGGCAAAACAGGCTGGACTCCATTTAACCATTCTGCATAACTCTTTGTCATTGAGCACAATGTTCGTCATAGGCAAAACACTTTGTCAGATTGTCATAATGCTTCGACTTTTCACAAAATGGTTAGTCGATGTGCAAAATTCATCGGTACTGTGCGTAAACAATGACTGTTGATTTAAAACTTTCGTCAATGATCAAAATGTCAATGATGTAGTGCTTATCTAGCCATATTCAATGTTTAACGCTAATCACGCATTCAGGGATGAGGCTTATGACAGTTCCAGCGCAATTTGCAACCAATTAACTATTGGATTCCCGATTCCGAAAAAGGCAGTTATACGATAGCTACGAGGAGACTGCCGGCGCCATACCGAGTAGGCATGTAGATTCTTGAGCGTCGGACTCCAAGCAATTCGATACAAACCACGAAGTCGGCCGTCATTATCGCGTCACTGCCCGTGCGATGTCATGGGACAACGCCTCGGGCGGCCGCGCCGGTCGGACTCGCGAGGGAATGGCTGACAGATGGCGAGCCGGGCCCTGCCGGCCGGACACCTTGGTGTTTGGGGCGGTGCTGACTTATCCAGCCTGTTGCCTGTTCCTTGGTGTTTGAGGCGGGGTTAACTTATCCAGCCTGTTGCTCTGTTGCTTGTCCATTTTTCAATCAGCCGATAACATGTCAGCTACGTCCATCTACATTGTACCTATGGTGCTCATGAACGCAACCGATTTTTATGTGGATCAATGGTCTACGAGTTTCGCCACCTATGCCTCGCACTGCACTGTATAAACGTGGTCATATTTGTACTTTTCTGTAAAGGGGCGATCTGTTTTTAGTTTTGACGAAATGTTATGAGGAATGCCGAAATTAGCATGGGGATGTTTTGGTGAACGACGAAGGGATATTAACGAATGACGAAGCATTTATCCAAATCGTCAAAGGTTTTGCCGGAACTCAATCAGTTATGGCGAATAGCGAAGGTAATACCAACTGACGAACTGTGGAGTGGGATCAGCATTCCGTTTTGCCCATATGCTGAAGGTTTTGCCGGAATGCCTCTCACTGGCGCCACCTATGTGCTGATCGGACGAATGGGTTTTGCTGATTGGCCATCGAACAACGCAAAAAGGTGTAATAGACATACCTGAGATGCATTGGACGTTTCCCAACAGTAGAATCGCTATTGAAAGGGATGTGTGTAACCTCTTCATTCTGAAACAAAGGGAGTGAAATGTTAAAAAATCGTGGGATGCACTTGGTTCAAAAACCTGGACAAGCGACGCAATATCTATAAGATGTGCCGTGCCGGCCAGTTTTACGAAAAAGTCTAAAGGCCGCCGTCCACTGCGGCCGACACTCCAGCGCGAAATCGGCAAGCATTTTCTCCACGGACTCGACAGAAGTTGATGGCCGAAGGCAATATGCATCAAATACTTTCAACGGTGCCTCCTTCTCTTAGCGACCAGTCACGGTATGCTATACAGTCTATATACCCTGATACAGTCCACAGGAACCTCGTGACGTCATTATCACGTGACTTGAGTCTCATTACCACCCAGAGACAATAGCAGTTGTTGACTGCCGTCCTCCGATCACGTGACGTATGCATCTCGCCGTATACTGGTCACGTGACTAGCCGTCGTCCTCGTGATTTCGGTGCGTGAGTTGCGTTCATTGAAGGAGGACCGGGGGCGACAATTGTCATATGCGACGGACCGTGGGCGGGAGAATTGCCCAGGACGTTGGCGTGGTCGAAACAATCGTCACGTGGCGAAGGTCGCCAGGGAAGCGGGGGCGTCCGTGGTAGACGACGCCGTGGGCGCCGTGCGATACCTATGGCTTCGCGGTCTCCGCGATCATATTTCTGTACTGCGGGGGGGGGGGTAGACACTGCGAGTTTTGGACATTGCCGGCATACATGTGGTAAGTAACGACAAATAACGACAGGCTGACCCACGCCCAGCATCCCCGTGTCGTCCGTTCCCGGGTGTCGGTGGGGCGGGTCCGTTTTGCCGAACCTCTGGCTTCGATAAATACCCGGGCCGGTCCAGTGTATAGGACTATCAGCTTCGATTCTGAATAGTGGGTGGGACGGGCCTGGGGAGGGGTCTGGTTATTTGTATTGACCGGATATGTAACCTTTTGTCCTCTGTAATACATGATTTGTGAGTGTAATGGTTTGAATGTGTCTGGAAACATGCATGTTTTGAATGGCCAGCAAAATATTTCACACACTGCTGATTTCATTACGACGTTTAACTAACGCCGGGAGTATCCTGTTGTGGGTTCTACCCAGTTACCTGCCACTTTTGTGTGTTATTTCTTGTACGACGCTGCGTATTTTGTGACATGTGAATCGATTCTTCCTACATACATACGTCGCACCAGCCAGTGCGCCGCAGCGGACCGGAGAGAGTGTTGCTGGGAAGCGACTGATGCGGGTCAGATCGATCTGTGGGTCACGGCTACACCTGGCGTTCCACGTCCTCTATCCTGGCCGGAATAGAACCGAACGGCACGCAACATCGTGCCAGTCTGCGCATCTGCAATTGCAGTACCTTTAAAATGGCAGTGCCAAGGTTTACTTGCCATTTTTCGGCCATGACGAGCGGTGACTGGTGTTCTTATATCAAATGCTTCTTTGTCCCTCTCATTTGAAGCATAGATAACGTAAAGCTGTGTATGTACTTACAATAATGAACGTTTTAGATTAGTTGTTTATGCATAATTGTGTCACGGTTTTTATCATAAATCGGATGTTGGAGCTCAATTCGAAACTTACCAACACAACTTGTGAGAAATTACGTCGAAGCGTGAAATGAGGGCCAAGCCAGGTCGTTTTGGTGCATCATGACCGGACGCCCCGCACTGTCGTGTAATTGCCGCCGTGGCAGTGCAACGTTGCAGCAGTTCGAAGTGTTGCGCCGTCCCGGAGTGGTGATTTCTCCATCCTCACGTCTCTGAATGACCGAGACACGGTACCGGTGAAAGGTCCACTGGCCGTGTGCCTTCCGTGGCCGGAACCAAACGTTCCCCCCCCCCCCGCCCACTGTGCCGGTGGCCAGAGGTCACCTGTGCGCCTGTGACGGCTGCCGCGGACCGCGGGGATGCGGGCGGGGCAGCTGCCACCGGGGAGAGGGGGGAGGCAGGGCGGTGCCCGGCCTCGCGGCACGTGCCGCTTCCATGACGTCACAGTCATATGCCAGGGACAGACAAAAGTTGGGTAAATGCGCATAATCAGTATACAGCAGATATTCTCGAAATACGTCCTCTCGGGTAAATCAAGCTTCCGCACCTAAACGATCGACGTCGAAGTGGCTGAGACAACACACCAAAAGCATCGGGTGTTCGGTCCGTGCCAGGGGAAAGAGGTATCGAGCAAAATATTTGACGGTCTGTCTGGTGTGATGGAGGCCCGAAAGAAGTGTAATTGCATTGGATCAGGATGCCTACTACCTATACTTCCCTACCTAAAAGCATATATACCTAATTCTACGTAACCTATTTAGCTCAATAACACACAATGACTACCATAGCTCTTAAAAAGTTATAAGTTCCGATCTTTCGGACCAGACCGGGGATCCACACAAATACAAACATTCCAAGTTACGAAGACCTACGCCTGACCTACAAGGATTCATGCAATCACGTATTCGAGACATGTATCGAAAATCATAGGGTGCATCTAGAACAGACAGGTATTATGTGAAGGGCTTTTTATGCTGATTTCGAATTTGGCTGGGGTATTATGTGAATGGCTTTTTATGCTGATTTCGAATTTGGCTGGGGAAACCTATGAGGCCACGGAATACATTCGAATATGACGAATATATGGAAGGAGTTAACATGTCTACAGGTCTTTTGCAAATACCTAAGGCAACAGTCCTGTTTATTTTTTCTGGCGTGTCTGATGCTCAATCCCAAATCAATTTGCTAGATCGTTTTCCAGGGTTAAACAACGTCTGATTGTTCAGAAAAGAAAATGGGAAGCATAAACTGATGACTATGGCCTCCATGATCGATGACGTCGTATTTAACTTCGATTGGCCCTTTTTACTGAGTTACTTAATGTTTTGTTGTGTTTTTTGCCTTATATTTATTTGTTAAGATACAATAGATGCATTGATCATTATTCACACCATGTAATTTCAATGAAAAGTGTAGTTGTAAAAGGCTGTTTGTAAGGGTGAAAGACCGTCTGTCTAACGGGAAAATCAAACATGCATCAACATACACAAATTATTTCGTATCAAAGTAAAGTAAACGTCAAATGCATTTTTAGGTAGGTAGGTATATACCTAATGCATCATACCAAATGCACTACCATATGCATGTATGCATTACAGGCTACAGCCACCTTGTCTGAGAATAAAACATTGTCCGCAGTACCTATTTCAATGAAGCATTATCGCTTCGAGCAATTAACAACCAAGCACGATAGAACCTGACAAGAATTGACCCCACTGCATCTCACCTGCCTTTCGATTCTCCTACAACCAGATTGTCGGGCTCGCGATCAAACGGGCCCGTGGCCCTGTGGGTCTCGTCTCCTCTGTGGTCTGTTATCTCGTTGTCCGTCGACTGCAATCTCCTTGGACGTAGTCCGTGGTCTTTGGTCTCCGGTGGTGAGCTCCGCTACCAGTGCTGTCTCGTTCGACGTGCCGCTCATACTGCGGGCGGTGGCGGTGGTGGCGGTGTTGCGGGCGGGGCGGCACTAGTGGTGCCGTGGGGGGGGGGGGGTGATGGTGACTGTACAGGGTGTCTCAAA